TAACCGAACCTCTCGGAAAATGTCCAATGCCCCCGGGGTGCACATCCGTGTGCCTGGCTTTGGCAAGACCTATTCTGTGGAATACCTGGATCAGAGCAAACTGGCAGGTGAGAGAGCGGCACGGTTCAGGGCTCCAGCGTGCTCAGTGCTCTTAGCCCTGCAGGGGAATATGGGGCCCTACGAGGTTCATCACAGCCTGGTTCTGCAGATCTGGCCGGAGCTCGGTCCACCTGGGAATGAGGGAGACACATCCTTCCTGTCCCAGGCCCTCTCAGTGCTTGCAGGCCCTCACCCTGTCCTTGACCCATGGCACAGCCCCGCCAGGACACATGGAGTTGCTACCTCCAGAAGGAATGATCAAGCTGTGGTGCTTTCCAGAGGGAATTCTGAACAGGATCAGGGTGGGAAACAGATTACAGGTGAAGACCACCGATCTAATTCCATTTTGTTCTGTGTCTTTAGGTTACCTGCACACACTGGTGCAGAACCTGGTGAACAACGGCTACGTGAGGGACCAGACAGTGCGGGCAGCTCCCTATGACTGGAGAGTCGGGCCTCGTAAGTGCAGGGCCGGGCCAGCTAACACATGCGTGGAGGGAGGCAGGAGGGCCACTCCGAGCATGATGCCTGGGGCTGGTGTCACGCCAATATATTAATTAAGAACAGTGGGGTGATATAGAGATAGGCTGGACAAGGATAGGAGTCTGTGGCCTAGACCACTATGCCATTAGTGATGCTTTGGTGTGAATATGCCTAGTGGCACTTCTCCTCGCATCTGTATTCATGTTTCTCTCTAGTTTGGGCTCCTAGGATCAGTCCATGAGCCCTATGGCCATGAGTGAGGTGGCCAAGAGCTGATGCCCCTCTTGTCTGCAGATGAGCAACCTGAATTCTTCCAGAACCTCAAGGCACTGATAGAAGAAATGCACGACGCATACCAGCGACGTGTCTTCCTCATCGCACACAGCATGGGCAACCTGCACGTCCTCTACTTCCTCATGCAGCAGACTCAAGTCTGGAAAGATCAGTACATTGCGGGGTTTATCTCTTTGGGTGCCCCTTGGGGAGGAGCTGTCAAGCCCTTGCGTGTCCTGGCCTCTGGTGAGTGATTTCCTTTGTGCAACGACCTCTGTGGGGTTGTTATTTTTCTGTCCTGCAGAAATGGGGGGCTGGACCAAGATCAGTGGAGCAGGGGCAGCACACTGGTAGAAGAGCTAAGGGACAGCACTGCCAAGCACTCTGGAGGACGCACTCCTGCTCTGGGCTTTGGTCAGGCATGTGCATCCCTTTGCACCATGGAAAAACAGCAGCGAAGAAAGGACCACTGAGATTCTTGTCACGACCTTATGAGCAGGAAAGTGACCACAGGGCCCTTCTTGGGACTTTCTTTGAGCTCCACAATTGTGTTTGATGGGTTTGTGTGCCTTTGGCCAAGCTGATACAGAAATGGAGGGTGCACAAAGAAATTGCTGTTCAAATGGCTGTAGTTCAACTGCCCCTTTTCTCTGCCTTAGCTCTCACCGCACACTGTTCTCATGGCACCATAGCCCACAGCACACCCTGGGCCACGACCAGAGGTCATGAACATCTGCTCATGAGTATCTGCTGGTGTAGGGTCACACCTCCAAATCAGAAACACCCGTCTGAGGCCAGAAAGTGCCTCAGCCCCAAATCCTGAGTGAGGGTAAGAGCCTGGGGCTGGCTCCCTGCTTCTTGCTGCCTTCCCCAGGCACCTGCTCCGTTTCTGTCAGGGCAGGGCACTGAGCTACCTGGGCCATTTCTTCAACCTCCTATAGCTCTTCTGCAGCAGAAGACATGAAGGTCATCTATAAGGGGGCACTCTAAGATATGAAGGATTTCTTCATATCTTAGATATGAAGGATTTCTTCATGTCTTAGAGTCCATCCCCCACAGGCTCTTCTGTCTTCAGGTCTAAAACTCCATTCACTCCTTTCCTCTTTAGTCTCTTTTCGGTTTGAAAAGCTGCAATCCAAAAAGTCTAATGTGATAGTCCGGATACCTAGAAGCCTTGAGATAAGCCTCCAAATGCATGGGATTGATTTAAAATCACGTGCTTCAAGAAAAGGAGATTTTTCCTTTTAACATCTGCCCCCTTGCATCACTCTCAATCATCTGCTGATAGTCTTCTCCTTTGGCATAGGGCCAGAAATACTTTGCAAAGTAACTTTTTTTTTTTTTTTTTTTTTTTTTTTTTTTTTTTTTTTTTTTTTTT